TAAGGACTTACAAGCTCAAATCAACTAGGCTACAAATCAAAACAACCTCCATCTAATCATTTCTCACTTCTTACCTTTTGGGAGAAGTCTTCACTTTCTATTGCTTTTTTTTTTTTTTTTTTTTTTTTTTTTTTTTTTTTTTTTTAGCATTCAATTATTAACCTAGAGTTTGGGCCCTCCACCTTTCGCGCGTGAGAAGTTCAGTGCTTGATGAGGCTAGAATCCCGGCTACTTAGTGAAAAAGAGGTTGTTATCCACCTTTATCAAGAATGAAAGCTTTCAGTGCAATACTAGCTCAATTGGGATATAACCAATTTAATAATCAACAAAGCATGTACCCCACAAATGAATGCTAGTGTGCGTCTGTGCTAGTGTAGAATACTAGAGTGAATCTCAAAACAATCACAAAATCAGGATAATGTGGACCACAAGTGCAAGCAAGATATCAATATTTTGAAAAATTTACTCCTAAATGGCATCCATAAGGCATACAAGGAGTATTGGACTCTCAAGTCAAACAATTTTTAAATTTTAAAGCAATATAGTCCTCAAAAGATCAAAATCATAGCTAGTTATGGACCAATCATAGAAAATCTCTCAAATACACAAGTCATGCTCAAAATTTTGAATTTAAGTTTTCACTTGTAGAAGATATTGAACATTGTATTTACAACCTGTAATGATGTATGAGATGAGCTATAAGAGCTTTGTTGGTCCTAGCAAAGGTGCTTAGGACAGGGGGAGTGTGTATGTGTGCTGAAATCATCTAGTGTATGTATTGGTTGTGAAAACTAGCTTTCATTCTTGTGCTTGGGTGTGTGCAGAGGGTGAGACAGCTGAGTGTGTAACAAAATACATACAACTAGTAGTGGACTTTATTGGCTAAAGCCAAGAACCAAGGTTTTCCCATGTTGGAAGGGTTTCCTTGTAAATCTATGTTAATGCTTGAATGTGTATTATCTACCTACTTTGCTGACTTGTAAAAAGAAAGTTTAACCAATTCACCTCCCTCCTGGTTCAACAATTGGTATCAGAGCTTGGTTTGCATTTGAAGGTTCTAACAAGCCTGCAGCTGATCCTAGCTATGGATGAAGGCCAAGTTATTAACAAAGCTCCTGGATTTGAAGGTTCTAACTATGACTCATGGAAAACTAGAATGGAAGCCTTTTTGATGTCTCAATCCTATGATGTGTGGCATGCTGCTATACATGGTGTTGTTATTCTGAATCCTGAGAATCCAACTACTGAAGATAAGCTAGCTATAACTAATGATGGGAAGGCCAAACATGTTCTTTTTTGTGCCTTAAAGCAACAGGAGTTTACAAGAGTTAAAAATTGCAAAACAGCTAAGGAAATGTGGGACTCTCTTCAAGCTGCTCATGAAGGAAATAATGTTATAAAAGAGAACAAGATTTAACTCTTCAAGTTGCAATATGAAGTTTGTAAAATGGAAGAAAGAGAGACTGTTGCAGAATATATGTTTAGAATTAATGGTCTTGTGAACAACATGAAAGCCCTTGGTGAAGACATTAAAGATTTTGATGTGTGCAAGAAGATTCTCAGGTCTCTTACTTCTATATTCAATGCTAAGGTTACTATTCTCGAAGATAGAGACTTATCTAACATGAAGATTGATGAACTTCAGGCTTCACTCACAGCTTATGAGATGAGAATTGGTCGTCCATCTCTACACAGAAGAGAAGCAGCTCTCAAGGCCAAAGAAACTATTGAGGAAGTGGATTCTAAATCTTAAGATGATCTTGAAGATGATGAAGTGGCTTACCTTGCTAAGAAATTCTGAAGATTCAGGTTTAAGAAGAAGTCTCAGGGTCAAAATCTTACCTATTATGGCTATGGAAAACTTGGTAATGTTGTGTCCAATTGTCCTGTTTCTAAGGGACAGCCTCAGAAAAGGTTTGAAGGACCAAACAACAAGAAAATATTTGGAAGGAAAGCATTGTTGTCTGATTGGGAAACAACTCCAGAGGAAGAAACAGTTGAAGAAACTCAAGAAGATGAATGCTTGCTCATGGCTATTCTTGAAGCACCACAAGCTGCAATTAAAGTTAAAGAAGACAGTGATGCAGAGATTGAGGAGATTCTGGAAGAATTTGAAAGACTTGCAGTGAAGTGTAATCAACAGAATTCTCAAATTAGAAAGCTCAATTCAGAACTGCTAAAGTCAAGATAAATTCTTATTAAGCACTTTAAACTAAAGTTGTCAACCCTATGCTCAATCTCTCTTATTTTTTTAGGTTTGCTTAAGTCTCAGGTTAACACTCAGTGGTCTACTAAAAGGTGCAGAGAAGAATTGTCTCTTATACTTGAAGGAAGGTCTTTGAGGATGGTTGAAATTTGGAAGCAATCTACCAAGCAAATTGGGAAGACTGGAATTGGTTATGTGTGTGATTTAGCAGCAAAGATCAAACAAAATCATTCTGTTTTTGTTAAAGCTACAACAGGTGAAGTGTATACCAAGTTCCCTATCATAAAAACCTTGAGATACAAACTTGATCCTCTTGACAACAAGGTAAGTTTCAATCAAGGAGATTTTGTCACCTCAGCCATGAGAAACTACAAGATCACTAAGATGTATGTGAAGAAGTCTGACTTAACTCTTGCTCAGAAAGCTAAGGATAAAGGGTCATTGGTAAAGTCTAAAATGATGTGGATCCCTAAGAAGTTGAACTCTATGAGTCTTCTTGTGTACACAACTTTTAAAGCTTGTAATTCACATGATAAATGGTATGTTGACAGTGGTTGTTCAAGACACACGACTGGTGATAGTTCAAAGTTTAATTCTCTAAAGCAGTTTGATGGTGGAAATGTTATATTTGGAGACAATCAAAAGGCTAAAATTGTGGGTATTGGTACTGTGACCAAGACTGAAGAATTACTTGAAATGCAAGAAGTTCTACTGGTTGAAGGACTTAAACATAATCTTCTTAGTGTGAGTCAATTGTGTGACAGTGGAAAGGAAGTATGCTTCAATAAAGAAAGATGCAAAGTAGTTGATCTTAAATCAAAATAAGTTCTATTCTCAGCATGTAGATCTTTAGGGAATGTGTATACTATCACTGATGAAAGACAGCTCACTCAATGAAACTTAACAACTTATGATGAAGCTAAATTGTGGCATAAAAGGTTAGGACATCTTCACTCAAAAAACCTATCCAAGATTCTGAAGCTGAAAGCTGTCAAAGGGGTTCCTGAGGTCAGTTTCAAGGATGATCATCTCTGCAAGGCATGTCAGCAAGTAAGCAAACCAAAGTCTTATTTCCCTCTAAAGAGATCAACACCTCAAGGGCTCTTGATTTGATACATATGGACCTGTATGGTCCTACCAGAACCACCAATATTGGTGGAAGTAAGTATTTCATGCTCCTCATTGATGATTTCAATAGAATGGTGTGGGTTCATTTTTTAAAAGAAAAGTCTGAGGCAATTACTCATTTCATCAAGTTTGTTAATCTTGTGGAGAATGAAAGAAACTGTACTGTGAAGAAACTCAGGTCTGATTTTGGCTCAGAGTTTACTATAAAAGAATTTGAACACTATTGTGATGACAAGGGAATCAAGAAGGAATTCTCTGTTGTTGCTACACCTCAACAGAATGGAGTTGTGGAGAGAAAGAACAGGACTGTACAAGACATGGGGAGAACAATATTGCTTGAAAAAGGTTTAGCAAAGGGATTTTGGGCAGAAGTTATGAACACTACTATGTACATTATAAACAGAGTTCTTCTTAGACCAAACTCAACAAAGACACCTTTTGAGCTGTGGTATGGAAGGCCTGCAACTGTACACTATTTCAGGATATTTGGCAGCAAGTGCTATCACATTGATAGCCTAGGGAAGTTTGACTCAAAAGCTGATGAAGGTATATTTTTGGGTTACTCTATAAAAGGCAAAGCCTACAAATGCTATAATCTTAGGTCCTCTAAAGTGGCTGAATCAATCCATGTGAAATTTGATGAGAATCCTCAACTGACAATATCTGAGGATAGTTGCAATTCAATTGGCTCAAGTGAAACCAGTTCTTCTGTAACTCACCCTTAGGATTTAAAGGAAGTTACTTATCCAGTATTGCAAAAGCAAGTTCAAGCTGAAAACATAATTGGCTCACCAAAGGCTGGAGTTTAAACAAGAAGTAAGAAGCTACTTACTGAGTTAGAAGTTGAAGATGGTAAAGAATACAGTCACTTTGCAATGTTGTCTTTTATTGAACCTAAATCTTACTTTGAAGCTCAGACGATTGAGATTGGGTTGTAGCCATGAAAGAAGAGCTTAATCAGATTAACAGGAATGATACTTGGACACTTGTTCCTAGGCCTGCAGATAAGAATGTAATTGGCACTAAATGGATTTATAGAAATAAGCTGAATGAAAAAGGGTTTGTTATCAGGAATAAAGCAAGGTTGGTCTATAAAGGCTATTCACAGCAAGCTGGTATTGACTATGATGAAACCTTTGCTCCTGTGGCCAGAATGGAGTCTATAAGAATGCTACTATCCTTTGCATGTCACAAACAAGTCAAAGTGTACCAAATGGATGTCAAATCTGCTTTTTTGAATGGAGATCTAAATGAAAAAGTTTATCTAGAGCAACCTGAAGGTTTTGAAGATTCTAGATATCCTTCACATGTATTCAAACTGAGTAAGGCTTTGTATGGCCTCAAACAAGCTCCTAGGGCCTGGTATGAAAAACTTCATCAGTTCCTAATTGAACAAGGCTTTCATAGAGGCAAGGTTGATAACACATTGTATGTCAGAATTCATCAAGAATAATTTCTGATTCTATAAATCTATGTAGATGACATCATGTTTTTTGTATCACACACTTCTTTAGCATCATAATTTGCCAATCTTATGAAGACCAGGTTTGAAATGTCACTCTTGGGTACTCTCAAATATTTCTTAGGCCTGCAAATTGCTCAAACATTCAAAGGGATCTTCATTTCAGAATAGAAATATGCCTCAAAGTTACTTAAGAAATTCAACATGAGTGACACCAAGTCTGTTTTAACACCATTGTGTCCCAACACCAAGCTGTCACTTGATTGTACTTTAGAGCCAGTTCCTTCAACACTATACAGATCTATCATTGGGAGTCTACAATATCTCATAGCCTCAAGACCTGATATAATGTACTCAGTGGGGTTGGTAGCAAGGTTTCAAAGTAATCCAAAAATGTCTCATCTTCAAGCTGCCAAACGAATTCTTAGATATATTAAGGGTACAATCTCTTATGGTTTACACTACACTTACTCACCTATAATGTCTATAGCTGCCTTTTCAGATGCTGATTGGGGTGGATCCTTACCTGATAGAAAAAGTATATCTGGTTGCTGTTACACTCTTGGTTCTAATGTTGTCTCTTGGCTCAGTAAAAAACAAGACACAATCTCTTTATCTACTTCAGAAGCTGAGTATATAGCTGCTTCTCAGGCTGGCTTACAATTGCTTTGGATGCAGTCTACCTTGACAGACTTTGGACATCACTTTTCTATGCCTCCCAAGCTCTTTTGTGATAATCAAAGTGCCATTGCCATCAGTAAAAACCCCACCTTGCATTAGAAGAGCAAGCATATAGATATCAGGTACAATTTTCTCAGAGATAAAGTTCAAAAAGGCTTACTTGATATTACTTATCTTCCCACTCAGGATCAAATTACAGATATCATGACAAAACCACTTCTTCCTCATAGATTCTCAACCCTTAGAGCTCTTCTCAAGGTTGTTCCCCCACCTTTTTGAACCTCACATTGTTGGTCCTCCTCCCCTTTTCCTCTTTAATGTCAAAAAGGGGGAGACAAGGACTGAAATAAGGATAGTGTTAGGCTATTCTTATCAGTTTATAAGTTTTGGGTGGAATTATGTTTATTATCTTTATTATCTAATCTTCCATGGTTGAGGTCTTATTTCATTTCACATCAAGTTTTTGTCATTAAAGGCAAAAGGGGGAGATTGTTGGTCCTATGGTTCTCTAAAGACTTGTTTGCCTGTTAATGTCAAAAAGCAATAAAAAGGTGTTGGTTCAGTGAGTTTAAATCCTTATCCATCAGCATTGTGGGTTATTATATGTTATGGGGCAGCAGTGGCATTTACATGAGTGTGGCAGATTCTTCTCTCCTCATTTAGCAAAATTGGATGTCTACAGCAGAATTTAGTATATAAGGATTCTGCAACATGTGCTTACAGGGGCAGTTTAGTACTTTCTCATATGTGTTCCATTAAGTCTCGTTTGCCTATTCAGCTGCATTGCACTGAAGAGTAGTACCTTAATCTACATTGTAATTAATACAGCCTCAGCATATGTAGTGTACTGCATGGTATATACAGCTGGTGCATAGGTGGTTTTTGAGCTGATCTGGTATATTCAAGAGTGTGACACGTGGTGGTGGTCCCGAAATATTGTCCTCCAATGATGTTGCAGAGCTTAGAGGCTAAGCAAAGAAATGTTCTTCAGTGTACCTCACCTATATAGTGCTTTTCTGTTGGTGCATAAGGTGTCACTGTATTGTATGAAATCAAGGGTAATATTATCCTTTCATTGAGAGAATGTCAGTAGGGCCCATGCATAATCATTGGTTGAAAGGTGACAGCTAGAGCTGAGATGAAATGCAGCCAATGTTTTGCATTGTTCTTTATATATGCTATTAAAAGAGTCTGTAGGGTTGGGAAGCCAAAAAGGATTAATGAGATTGTCATTGCACCCAAGAACTCTCGAGAACAAATGTTGATCAATATTTTCTGAGCTAATTGATGATGATTCCGAGCTAGGAAAATTGATTAACTCATCTTCTGTGTGAATTCCTTCTACTGCAATACTGCTGCTGTTGAAATTGCTGATGAAAGAGCTTGTTTGAGTAGTGAGATTTTATTCCTTGCTGCTGTTGTCAGTTTTGAAGACTTTTACAGGTATAATTAATGTTTTCACATTTGCTCACTACCTGTTTTTGAACTGAAACATGTTGAAATGGATTTTGGACTTTTTGATCAGTTGTTAAGCTTGATTTTCTGCTATTTGCTGTGATTCAAGTACAAAATGGTTATGGCTAGCTATGTTATGGACTATGTATGTGCTACCAAGTTTATTTTGATGAATCTCAGTTGTTGAAATTGACCATGATGCAAAATTTAGACAGTGCCTGATTGTGACCTTACAAAACCCCTATTTCAGCATAGTAGTGTGTTGCTCAAGACCTGAGACTGAACCTTGATTGATATATTCATGCTATGCTTGAATGTTTAAAGTTATGAACATGAATAATTCAGTGAGTCAAGACTGTGGAAGCTACTGGTGAATTGATCTCGAAGGGAAATTCCAATTTTACCCCTCAAACCCTAGCTGCAGTAGTAGAGTGTTTTGGAGGCAGTAACTTGGTGTTTTGTGCTGAATGATTTGTTTTCTCTTGTAGAAGATATTAAACATTGTATTTACAACCTGTAATGATGTATGAGATGAGCTGTAAGAGATTTGTTGGTCCTAGCAAGGGTGCTTAAGACAGGGGGAGTGTGTATGTGTGCCGAAATCATCTAGTGTATGTATTGGTTATGAAAACTAGCTTTCATTCTTATGCTTGGGTGTGTGCAGAGGGTGAGACAGTTGAGTGTGTAACAAAATACATACAACTAGTAGTGGACTTTATTGGCTAAAGCCAAGAACCAAGGTTTTCCCTTGTTGGAAGGGTTTCCTTGTAAATCTGTGTTAATGCTTGAATGTGTATTATCTACCTACTTAGCTGACTTGTAAGAAGAAAGTTTAACCAATTCACCCCCCCCTCTTGGTTCAATAATTTTGCATCATGGTCAATTCATTGGATTGTCCTTCTAAGTGTAAAGGAGGTTAATCATTGGATTGTCCTTCTAAGTGTGTGATACTACCATTGTTGGCCATGATCGTACTTTAAGACGATTAAGTCTTTTAAATAGAGTTAGGCTCTGATACCAATTGTTACCTAAGTATTGACTCTAGAGGGGGGTAAATAGAGTCAATGGCCAATTTTCACAATTTATAGATTTACAATTTCTAATCAACAACTTAAGCAATTATGCAATAATCAATATATGAAAGTAAACAATTAATAACACAATTTTAAAAGAGAAAAGGGAAGAGAAATTGCAAACAGTGAGTCGGCGATTTTAGCGAGGTTCGGAAACTCCTATTCCTCGGCTCAAGACTCCTCTAAAGACTTCCCAATCCACTATGGCACCTCCTTAAGGGTGGAGGGCAAACCTTTACATGAAACAACTCCTTTCTTCACCTTACAAAGAGAACAACCTTCCCTTAGTCTTTCTTTGGGTCACACCAACCCGGTGGGTCAAACCACTTATAACAGATTGTAACAAATACAAGAAGTACAAGAAATCTCTCAAAGATAGATGTACAAATTTTAGCTCACAACTAGAGTATTAATGAATATAAGTGAAGCTCAAACTCTATGAATAAAATGAATGAGAGAAGATGAAATATATGAAGAATATAGCTCTTATGAATTTAATAGAATCTCTTAAGTGTATAATAGAACAAAAACTCTATGAAGATTAAAACAAGAGCAAAAACCCTTTTAATTTTTACTAGAATCTCCCAAGATAGAATAAGAGTGAATGAGAGAGATAAAGAGAAGATGAGAACAAAAGCTCTCTTTGCAATGTAATTTACTGTCTCTCAAATGGTGTAATTTTATCTAGACATTCCCTTGCTATTTATAGAGGATTTAGGAGCTAAATAATGATGTAAAAGGTGGACAGCATGAATTTTAAATAAAAGAGCCATTGTACACAGATCACAAGGGCAGAGCATACTCTGTCCTGAAAGGAGCAAGCTCCCTTAGCTCTGAGAGCCGGCTCTCTATGGCATGGAGCCGGCTCCCAACCTTTAAAAGCCTGTTCTCCAACTTTGGAGCCTACTCTCTTGCTGGAAGTTCAATTTTGTAATGACCTGGTCATTTTCCTTCCTTTCATTTTCTCAGATTTTCACGGATATTTATTTATTTTTTCCGTTGATCTTTTCCTTTTTGAGTTCGGTTTCGTGTCACTTAGTGTCATCTTGAGTGCCTTGAAATGATTCCCGAGACTCTTTTCCTTGGATTGACGACTTCCTTTGAGGACCGAGTCATTTGTACATTTTCACTTCTGTGACACTATTCACTTTTCGTCTTTTTCTCGTTATTCATTTTTCCATGCACAACCTCACTTTTTGTGTTCGGATTTGATTTCGGTTTTGCATGAATCCATGATATTTAAATTCCATGCCATGTGTATTTTTACTTTCTTAGAAAAGCATGTTAAGTGTTTACTTTTCTTATAAAGGGTATAGATGCATAACTTTTTTATAATATTCTTAACTTATGGGGTTTTAGTGTAATTTAAAATAAAGTAATTATTTTTCATCTTAGGGACCAGTTTGTAATTTAATTTGAAAGATATTTTGAACAAGGACCTTTTGTAATTTTTGAACAATGTGACAAGTGTCACACTCCTATGGAATCACTTATTGACATTTTGGTGGAACCACTTGGAAGCTTAATCTCTTGACACATGGAGAGTGGAGATTCACCCACTTGTTGGCCTAGGATTGGAGCACTTGTTGGCTTAGATGGTTGACAAGTGTAGGCTTAAGATTAAGCCTAGGAAAGAACCTTGGATTTGTGACAAGTGTAGGTTCACAATTAAGTCCTACAATTATTTTTGGGCCACTTTGGGATTATGGTTTTAAAAAAGGGTTTCTTATGTAATTGACCAAACTTGTGTGTATTGACTATGGTGTAAGATTACACAGTGAGTGGAGGATTTCTATTTTATCCGCTCACACTTTATTTGATTGTTTCATTATCTTCCTTACCAAAAACCCTAGCCACCATTAGAGAAACTTATTGCTTAGGCTTTGACCTTGATTTTTGAGAACCTTTCATTGATTTCCAAGCTTAACCTTGGGAATACTTTTTGTTCCCCTCATCCTCCTCTACATAACCCTTGAAGGGTTTACCATTCTATGTTGACTTGCCTTGGATTCAAGAGGAACAATCCTCTTGTGAGGTAAGAGGTGTTATAGTTTATTTTCCAAGTCATTTTGATTGCTTTTATAATGGAATAAAAGTGATATGTATGTTTTAATGTTAATTTGAGAAATTAATGATTCTTATAACTTGCATATAATTCACTTTTCACTTGGTATGTGGCATGGCCTTCACTTGATCCTTGTTATATAATTAATTGGAGCCATTTGAATGAGTTTTCAAACCTACAGATTTAAATGAATTTAATTTGATTTAAATTCTATTTAATTGTACCTTACTTATTTTCCATTTTTGACTTGATATATGGCATGGCCATGACTTAGTTCTTGTCATATATTTATTTGGGATCAATTGAACAACTTTTAAAAATTAGAGATTTAATTAATTTAAATTAATTAAAATCTACATGATGATGTCTTGCTCATTTTGCTCTTTTGATTTGATATATGCAATGAGCATGCTATGTTGTTTAACATATATAAATTTGAGGTTATTTGGGATAGATTTGAAATCTAGAGACTTTCCATGATTAGGTTAAAAATCTTTTAAAATGTA